TATTCAAGTTCTTCAAAATATATTTTTCCATGCAAAATTTATTATAATTCGTATATAAACACTTGTAATCAACGACTTCAAACCTAAATTTAAAACTTTTTTATTTTATTTTAAAATTTTCTTTTATCTAAATATAAACTTGTTATTAATAGAATCCTATTTGTTATCCGAAAGAGGGTGAAAGACTATTTAACAAAACAAAAGTTTGCTATTTTTTGTTTAAACCTCGCTTACAGGTGATTATAACATCTCTAATTTAAAAAAAAAAATATATATATATATACACACACACACTGAATATACATTTTAACATCTTTATGTGTTTCACTTATTTTTTTAGTTTTCGGCTTAAATATTCCACTAAATATACACTTGTTGCTCAATAAATCGTAAATTCACTTCCAAATACATTATAAAGATTTCCTTAATGCTTATGAAAAATATTTCCAGAAAATAAAAAATTTGCATTTTTACAAAAAAAAAAAAAACATGGATTAACACTCACGATTTTCAGTCGGTTTTGCAAATTCGTACATAAATCACCGTTCAATTTCTTTATTTTCACCTTTGCCTCACTGTGAAGTTTTGAAAATAAAGATGAGACTTTCCGTTGAAATTCTTGAGTGTAGAACCTCATTTGACAATGTTTTGGGTCTCACTACTATATTTTTCACTTTTATTTTATTTTATCTCGGGTTAAATATTCTACTAAATATACATTCGTTGCTCAATAAACCATAAAATTGCTTCCAAATTCCTTAAAAAGTTTAATTTAATGCTTATGAAAAATATTTTGCGAAAATAAAACATTTGCATTTTTGTCAAAAAAACATGGGTGTTAGGGGGGCTCCATGCACGCTAAGACGAGGTGAACCTGGCATGCAAAACAATGCGGGCTCTGCTCCCAGAAAATGGGGCGGGCTTTTGGCACGCAAAATGAGATGAGCTCCAGAAGATGAGGCGGGATACATCGCACAAATCGAGACCATCATTGCGTACAGAAAATGAGGTTGTCTCCATGCACGCGAAAACGATGTGGGCTCCGTGGACATAAATAAGGACGAGCTTTTAGCACGCAAAATGATGCGGGCACTTCACATGCAGAACGAGGCGAACCTAGGCACACAAGACGAGGCGGTCTCTGCGCACACAGAACCAGGCGAACTCCTAGGTGCTTAGAAAACGACTCGGGCTCAATGCTCGGAAAAATATATTTTGAAGAACATTAATATGATAGTTTGTTGTAATGGTAAGAGAAATAAAGGAAAATTTCCACCACAACAAGCTATCATATTCATGTTCTTCAAAATATATTTTTCGTGCAAAATCTATTATAATTCGTATATAAACACTTGTAATCAAGGATTTAAAACCTAAATTTAAAGATATTTGAACCTTTTTTCTTTTTTTTTAATTTTCTTTTATCTAAATCTAAACTAGATATTAATATAACCCTTTTTGTCAACAGAAAAAAGGTGAAAGACTATTTAACAAAACAAAATTTTGCTATTTTTTGTTTAAACCTCACCAACAAGTGATTTTAACATTTGTATTTTTTTTTAATATACACTAAATATACTGACACATCCCGACCCGAAATGTCCACTAGGACCCCAAATCGAACTGTGTTGGCCGACACCTGGAAGGTGACGAAGCCATAAAGTGTGATAGTGTATAAAATGTGAATAAATTTGAATCTAAAAGTGTCTAAATACTAGAGTGCGCTACGAGTGGGAGCGAACCCATTTCACACGCGATGTCAAATCATAAGTAAGGTAAAGTAGTGTAGGTAAGAATCATACCCTTAAAAGTAGCCACCAATACTAAGATTAGCTATATATCCTCGTCGATACGAACTCAGCAGTTAAAACCTGAAGGGGGGGTTCAAAACAAAAAGTGTGAGTAAACAGTAAAACCAAGCTTCCCAAAACGATAACCTTTCTATCAGTAATAACCCCTCACTGTAATTCCCTTATCGTTTTCTATAGGACAGTACAACATAAATACATATATCCAAACCATACTTAGAAATGACCAAAACCACGGTTTGCCATCAACTCCACCATACATTAATAAGTAGGCCAAATGAACTTAATCAATACAAAATGATATATCAGTCAGAGTCATCTAAAATGACATGTACAACTTATCCATATCTCATCAATTATGGCTAGCATATAAGTCGGAGTCACCTATAGTGACCAGTACGACTTATCCATATCTCATCAATTATGGCTAGCCAATAGCTCAATAAGTATACCTGCACACGAGTCAGAACCACCTAAAGTGGTCTGTACGACAGGACTGGGTGTAAATAAATACGCTCAAGTGCTACGATCACGTGAAGACTGTGCGAATAATCGCGGGTCACCTACGAGTCGGAACCACTTAAAGTGGTATGTACGACAGGACTATGCACCTACCTTGGATCCAAGGTGAGCGTAAGGTGCGGGAGGTGAACATCACGTAAAGGACTGTGCCCTGGCCACGGGCGGGAGCACTAACACCGGGGTGCAGGTTTATGAGCTATACTATATCTCAGCATAATCATACTCACTACCATCACTAACATCAACATGTACTTACCTGAAACTTACCTGGGCGTCCGCGGCGTCATATAGCACTTCAAAGCATTCACAATAGTTAGGTTCAGGTAATATCCATATGAATATGCCATGATGCAATCTATACCCAAACATTTCATGATATTTCCAAAATATATAATACGGTGTAACATGTACAATCAATAACATCCTACTCCCAAACTATTTACTTTTGAGAATAATCATCAGTGTTAAGCCCAATTAGACCCTAGTTTCATTAACTATTATTACTTACCTTTCCTTACTTCAATTTCTTGATTCTTCACGAATTGATTCATGATCAACATTAATCGCCAAATCATAAAGCTAAATCTCACACTTCCCACCAATGTCCTTCACATTGCTCAATTCACTAAACAAGACTATTGTCTCAATTATTTAATCTCATTTATTATATGGCTGCATCTAACGTCTTGTTAGACTGCCTACATACCCTAAACAGGGATCAAGCCATTCGTAGTTCGAAATGATTAATTGTAGGTAACAAGCATAGATCACTATAGAAGTGCTTGTGGAACTATCAATTATATGCCTATGAAAGAAAAATGCCCACTCACCTGGAGTCCACGCTATGATTATGTTGCACGCACATCGAGACATCACGATCTATTGTCACCTGTGACCAATTATCAAATCACGTCTCAAAAGTGGACGGAAGATGGTCAATTTTGCCCACAAAGCCGGCGGGTGCCTAAAACTTCCCGGTGTCGATTCGTCTTCTACAGTGGTCCAACGAGGTCAAGGTTGGTTGGGTTTTTCTCCTGGGATAATGGGCTACAAAGCCCAAGTGGTGGCATCGGCCATCACTTTGCCGATTTGCCGAAAAATCAAAAAGAGTGGCCGGAGCACCGTTGATTTTCGTTGACTTTCGTGGCCTCAAACCGCCACATACCATGACTAATAAAGATGGTTCTTGTGTGGGTTTTTTAGAGGGGAATGAGAGCTTCAAGATGGTGGTGGTGGCGTCGAAAAACTCCACCGGAGTTGGCCGAAATCGACCTTGGAAAATGGGTGGTCGCGAGTGGAAAAACCCAGATTGGCCTCACCCTCTATTTCTAATTGGGTCTCACCCTCTCCCTCTAATTTAATTGGTTCCTTCCTATTTGTGCCTAAAATCAGATTGGCCACTTTCCCACAAGGTGGGAATTCAAATAATTTATAACTAAACTTTAAATAGCCATTTTCAAACGTCCATAACTATACCGTTATAATCCAGACTTGCAAACGGCTTTTGCCTATGCGTTCACATCCACGAGTACTACAAGAATATGCTAAAAGAATAAGTCCCACATCTCTCAAGTCGATGGTCAACGGAAGTCAAAGTCCTTGCCTCTAGGGCAATTTCGTAAATTCACGCTTTTTAAAATAAAATAAAAACGTAAAATTTGGAACGGGTTGTCACATATACATTTTAACATCTTTATGTTTTTCACTTTTTTGTTTACTTTTCGGATTAAATATTCTACTATACATACACATGTTGCTCAATAAATCGTAAATCCGCTTCCAAATACATTATAAAGATTTCCTTAATGCTCACGAAAAATATTTCCAGAAAATAAAAAATTTGCATTTTTTACAAAAAAAACGTGGATGTTACGATTTTCAATCGGTTTTGCAAATTCATACATAAATCACCATTCAATTTATTTATTTTCACCTTCACCTCACTGTGAGACTTTCTGTTGAGATTCTTGAGTGTAGAATCTCATTTGACAATGTTCTGGGCTCACTATTATATTTTTCACTTATTTTTTTTTATTTCGGTTAAATATTCTACTAAATATACATTTGTTACTCAATAAACCGTAAAACTGCTTCCAAATTCTTTAAAAAAGTTTAACTTAATGTTTATGAAAAATATTTTGCGAAAATGAAAATTTTGCAATTTTGTCAAAAAAACATGGATGTTAGGTGGGCTCAATGCACGCAAAACAAGGTAGACTCCATGCACAAAAAACGAAGTGGGATACTTCGCACAAATCGAGGCCATCCTTGCACATGGAAAACAAGGTTGTCTCTGTGCATGCCAAAACGACTCGGGCTTCATGGACATAAAAAAGGCAAACTTCTGGCACGCAAAACAATGCGGACACCTCACATGCAGAATAAGGAGAATCCAGGCACACAAGACATGGGGGTTTCGACACACAGAGAACAAAGCGAACTCTCGGATGCTCAAAAAACGAGTCAGGCTCCCTACACGAAAAAAAAATATTGTGAAGAACATAATTTAGAACTAGAGAATGACCACACAACTAAACAGATGGCCCAACCTTACCCACGTAGAGAGATGCCCACTTCTGCCCCATTTTCCAATACACTCTAGCCTGTGAGCTCGGGCGGGTACCGCTGACCCACCCAAATTGAATAGGCACCCGAACCACAACTGCAACCAAACAGGGGGACAAAAACAGAGGAGTTCTAGAAGCGTCTTTTAGCAACTGATAAAACCCAAAAGCCTGCAATCTGCAAACACTCTAGGGTTTTATCTTCTTTACTCTACTAGCCCATCAACCTCTCCTCCGCCCTCTCTCTCCGCCCTCCAAATTCAACAGGTAATCTCCATTTCCGTTGTCGTTTCAATCGTATTTATCTGCGTTTTGTTCTGTTGTGCATTTCTATACGATTTTATTTCATTTTTTATGGTGAATTGATGAATTTGATTTTGGGTAATTTGTTGCAGAAATGGCAGCAGCTCAGCTGACCGCGTCGTGGATCTCGGCCAGGAGTTTGGCTTCGTTTGAAGGGCTCAGACCTTCAAACCTCAAGTTCGGGTCTCCGGCATGTGTCTGTCTTGTCAACCACCGCTCCTTCCGTGGCCTCGCTGTCAAGGCCGCCACTACAGTCGCTCCCAAGGTTGTTACTTGCACTTTTTCTTTGGTTTTGTTCTATCTGGTTCATTTTGTTTGAGGGTAAAATTTGGTTGCTTTGGGCAGTTTTGCTATTTGTATGTGTAATTTAGGGGTGATAAATGTTTGATTAATGTGTATGAATGCATAATTTGAATTTTAATCTCTACCCATTTCATCTTATCCAATGAAGATTTGCAATTTGAAACTGGTTTTGCTTATTGGGTTATGATTGTTGACCCGAAAATTTGTTCTGGATAAGGTTTCTATTGCGTTAGGTTTCGAATTTTGATTTAAGTCTGCCTGTTCTTGTTTCTTGTGCTGGTTGTTTGATAAAGTTAGGTCCTTTGTGGAATTTATCAATTCCATGCTATTCGTAGGTTATCTGATGTTAATGGGGTCTGATTCGATTCTGCAGTACACTTCAATTAAGCCTTTGGGCGACAGAGTGCTTGTGAAGATCAAGACTGTGGAAGAGAAGACCGGCGGTGGAATTTTACTTCCAACCACAGCTCAGACAAAGCCTCAAGGGGGTGAAGTTGTTGCTGTCGGAGAGGGTAAAACAATTGGGAAGACAAAAGTGGGCATCAGTGTGGAGGTTGGTGATGTCTTCCGCATAATCCTATTCAGCAACAGTCAATAATTTTTAGGTTTTCTGTTTACTGATTGCTTTCTGTGGTACAGACAGGTGCTGAAGTTGTATACTCCAAGTATGCTGGGACAGAGGTGGAGTTCAATGGTGCGAAGCATCTTATCCTGAAGGATGATGACATAGTCGGTATTCTTGAAACCGAAGATGTGAAGGATCTCAAGCCTTTGAATGATAGAGTTCTAATCAAGGTGCCCTTTGAAACTTGAAACTTTTGTAATAAATTGTTTCAAGAGTTTGTTGTTGAAGTAAAGCATAAATTGGAAGGATCTCATAATGGTCCTGGGCCGTTAGTAATTGTTAGGTCTCTTATTAGTATTGACGAACATTTAGAGCTTCGACGTGGCTTGGTTTATAGTCACACTTGATTGTCTCTTCAGTTTCACACTACCAATTGTCAGTTTATATGCTTTTTCCGCACCCTAATATGGGCTTATTAGCTACTCTTCATTTTCCCTTATGTTTGAACCAAGGTTCATGATTGTCTTGCCCCTATGTACAACCAATGCAGGTTGCCGAGGCCGAGTTAAAGACTGCCGGAGGTTTGTTGCTGACAGAGGCTAGCAAGGAGAAGCCCTCCATTGGCACGGTAAGGGGTTATGAAACTTTTCATCTTAGCTCAAGGCATTTATGCTATTGTGGATGAGGTTCTTGTGAGACATTGTTGTTCATGCTCTGCCTATGACGTAACAGGTGATTGCTGTCGGACCCGGTACTCTTGATGAGGAAGGAAACAGGAAACCACTATCCATATCCCAGGGAAGCACAGTTTTGTACTCCAAGTATGCAGGGAATGACTTCAAGGGCAAAGACGGTACTGAGTACATAGCTTTGAGAGCTTCGGATGTCATCGCCATACTTTCTTAGTTGTTGAATTAGATGAGCTCAAGTTTTTGAAATATCTCGCAGAGTTTCTTTTAAGACATTTTCTGATCACATAGATTTGAGGGCCTCAACTGCCTTCTCTGTACTTTTGAATGTAATAACAGTTGGAGTATAACGATTGCGGTTGAAATGGTTTCGGAAATTAATCTTCGGGGTTTATACATATCAAAGTTTCTAGCTTTCGCCGGAAAATGTTTCCTCCGCCTGAAATTTCATCGACGGACGGAGGTTTTGGTGTTTTGACGAGGTGATTCTTTTGTGATCGAAAACTTGGGCCCATTACATCTGAAACGAGTTATAACTTGAGTTCTATATTCCATCCCTTCGATTCGATAAATTGAATGTCGAATCGTCTCAAAGAAAGATCATATTATACATTTCATCTCGCCGTACCGCATCAAAAACCCCACTTATGAAGCTAACAACAATATATGCAAGGACTACGACTATAGTCACCGTTGTGTTAGAGATGTCTTCGAGCTCCGGCCGACCTGCTACCGGAAGTTAAAGGAGCTCAACTAACCAAACTCGAGGAACCAGTAGTTTCCACACCGGACAAGGAACAATTTTGTCCCTCGACGATTGGGGAGACTCCAATTCTGATTGTTGTATTAGCATCGAACGAGAGGAATTCTGTTCACAACGATTACAGCTCAGTTGCAAACCATACGGGAATTCATCTGCTGAAGACTTGATCATTTCAATATTTGAACCCTTACCGGTAAAACGAGGCTGCAAAGTTATCATCATACTGAGGTCTTCATGCATTTCCACTGTGAGTTCCGCTAGAAGCTTGATTGGGGACTGGAATGTTGCCGAGGTCTCCATCCAAGCTCATCTGCTGTACTTCAACGGACGACAATATCTTTATACTCTGGACACAGCTCACAAACTCCCTAAAAGCAATTAAAAAAGGAATATATGAGGAAAAGCGAATGGAAAGGCAAAAGGTTTTGCTATCTGCTATTGCAGGGTTCTTGAACTTACTCCCATGGATCATCACCAACGAGAAGAATCTCATTTTCATGATCCACGTATACAAGTTTCCAGTCCGTCCTGTGTGGATCTTCTAGTTGCCCTTCAATCCCAAACATGCGAGCAAGATCATGCCGGAGCTCATCATAGCCTTTATAACGGTTGACATCAATGCATCTTCCCACAGATCCACGCTTTTGAACCTGGAAATTGTTGAATTCAGTATTATGCAAGGGTAGGCAAAGGTATTTTGATGAAGAAAATGAATATATATCACGACATCTTGACATTGTTGAAACAGCAAAAAACTTAATGGAAAGAGAGTCATAAGATTATCATTATATACTAGCTGAATCCGTGAAGATGCGATGAAGTTTCCTCCAGTTGCAGCGTAGTTGGTTTACAAATTTCATGACAAATGCACCTCACTTCAAAATGAACAAACCAAAAATTATTCAGTAGAGTGACAAACCTTTGTATATGTTCTCATACGCTGAGCCTGGTTTGCCCACGATCCATTGCCTAAAACTCCAGCATCAGTTATGGGAATATCACTTGAGCACCCAGCTTTGAAAGGTATGTTTGGTGCCCCAAATGACTGAGAGCTGATTGCAGCAGTGGATAACTCTGTCTCAATGTCTCTTGGCGTCCCACCATAATTAGACAGTAAGTTCTGAAGATCTTTTTGAGAGTCATATTCCCTTGACAACAAAGTGTCCGGTGCCAATCCATCAATATTAGCGGAAAATGGAAGACTGCTCCGAGGATTTGATTGAACATCACCATCCAAACAGAAGGTGGGAAGTGCATAGTTCTGATGGATTGTGCTAGTATCCAGACAATACGATGTTCCAGATGATGAAGCTTCCAACTGATCAGTGATTGTACCTTTATATTTTATATGGTCCGGTCCTTTTGAGCTGGGCGGCTCATGTTTGACCCAAACATCAGACTTGCTCTGAAGCTCCTGAACCAAATTATGAGCTGGTTCGGCCACTGAATCCCCCAACAACATGGCCATTCCTTGCTGATTCCTGTTCAAGAAGTTTGATGGAGACATCTGGCAGTTAGTAGAAGGGGAGGTTGAACATGATGGACCATCGCCTTCTGTAAGACCGGAATGGCTTCTGATTGCTGTAAGTGGCTTGTGCTGGTTCTGGGGCTGGATAGAAGGCATATGTTGTGACTGCATCATCGAAGGAGCTGCAAAGTTGTTGAGAAGTTTGTCCGTCGAGAAGCTGTTGCCACTTAGCTGTTGCTGATGATGCTGAGTCATAGGCAACTGTTGTAACTGCTGGTTTTGTTGGCGGGCCAGCTGCTGCTGTAAGAGTTGAGGCTGCAAAAGTGAGCTTGACGAGGAGAGTAATTGTGGCTGCTGCCGTTGCTGAAACTTCTGCAGCAACTGTAATTGGAGTTGTTGCTCAGAGATGCCCTGCGGAGATGATTGCTGTACTTGTGGCTGCTGCTGTACTTTCTGTGACACACTCTGTTGCAACAATTGATGTGGGGATGATTGCAATTGTGCTGCCTGCTGCTGCCTTTGTAAGAGGCTTGGTTGCGGTTCTAGTTGCTGCTGCTGGAGCTGTGAATTTTGTTGTCCAGTTGGCAACTGAAATGAATTCTTACTAGAAGAAGGGACAGCTTGCTGGGTATTCCCTGTTAGTAATTGCTGCTGTTGATGTTGGGACAACATAACTGGTTGTTGTGAATTTTGGCCCGGGACCTGGTTAGGAGCAACAGAACCATCATTTACCGGATTCGGTTGAGATAATTGTTGTTGCTGGTGCTGGTGCCGTTGTGCTTGCTGTTGATGCAGCTGCTGATGCTGCAACAAGTTTTGTGGCTCTTGGTGTTGTTGAGGCTCCCGCTGCTGCTGCTGGTGGGAGAAATTATGGAGCTGTTGGTTCGTTGGAGTCTGCAATAATTGCTGCTGCTGCTGGGGGTGATTTTGCTGATGTTGGTTTGCCGAAGAATTCAGTAATTGTTGCAGCTGCTGCTGCTGCTGGGGCTGATTTTGCTGATGTTGGCTCGCCGAAGAATTCAATAATTGCTGCAGCTGCTGCTGCTGGGGGTCACTTTGCTGTTGTTGGTTCATAGGATTATACATCAACTGCTGCAGCTGCTGCTGTTGAGCCCATGTCACATTCGGCTGCTGCATTTGACTAGCATGGTTTTGTGGAGCTGATTTATTTGACTGGAGACTGGGCAAAGACAGCACCGGGGCTTGAAAACTCAACAACTTGGATGGATCATCAGTACCAAGGTTATTTTGCAGGCCGGTTGGAGGGACCATGGATGGGAAAAATCCAGACTGAGCAGCTGAAAACTGATTATTTTGTTGCATGTTCATCCACTGCACCAAACTCAAACCAGGGAAAAACGAGCTTGGCGAGTTCTTCATGCCAAATTCATCTCCAAGCCAAGGCATGGCTCTCCTGAAAGCATTATCGATGTCGGATACATCATCTGCAAAAGGAGTCGATTACAAACAGATTTTCCGACAGGATATGATACACGTGGACATACAAACAATGTTTGTGGATTCCACTGGCAAATTTTTTTCTTCAAGCTAACTTTTTAAACACATTCCTTACGAGCTACTCGACTTTGAAGACTCTAAACTTCAAAGAATCTAGGTAACTTGTCAATATGGTTTACCTGGCATCCCTGGTTGCTTGGGAAACTTGGGTCTGAAAAATGGAGGAGGGCATATGTAGAAAGGAGTTATAACAGGCTCAATTTCCCAAATTGAAACTCGGCTAGGCCGGTCACCAGCTGTTGATTCATCCCATCCAACCTATTAAAAGTACAAAGAACATCAATATCTGGTTAAGCTTAAGTACATGTCTAGAATGCCTAGAAAATTTCAATTCAATCTGCATCTGGTAATGGGAGCTACAAAATGAACTCTGAGCAGAAAAAAAAAAGACCAATCAAGTGTCACTCAGATAAAGACGCACACAACGTTATGTAAACTTAAGCTAATGCCTAAATACCATATGAATGGCTAATCAATACCTGAAGATTGCGCCACTGCGAACCTTTCCATCGAACAGGATCCAAATCACTGATGCCAGTGACTGTGCCCATGTATCTGCGTACTCCTGACTCTTCAGTCTCAAACATCATTCTGAATCGCATGCCAAGTGAAACCTGGGTATACATCGCTTTATTGTACTTGGCTAGAGGTACTACAAATTCAGAAGGGCTTGCCCTATAAGATCAAATAAATTTTGTCAGAAACCAATCAAAGAGTAATTACAGACGACATTTCCTAATAACCAACAAGAAAAATCTAAACATCCAAGTGTTACCTTGGGTTGTAAAATATGGTAAAGGGACTGTTATTTGCAGCAGCATGAGCTGCAGCCGCAAGAATGCCGATATGCATGCTATCACTGGAAATGACTGATGACGAGAGAGCTGGCTGCTGTCTATTAGCACGCCTTATACCCAAGAGAAGCTGAGATTTTTCATCCCTGCATACAACCAGGTTGTTGTCACTCATTAACCAAGGGAAGTATATCGGGATGAATTTAATCATCTATCTGAAAACATCTTTCATACCTTATAAAAAGAACAGAATCTCCAGCAAAGAGTCTTTTGTTGCTAACAAAAACACTCCAACCTGTAGTCAGCAGGTGCCGTTTTGGTTGGCCTGGAATGAAATTGCTACACAGTTAGAATCAAAATTCAGATATTTGCATCTAAATATCTAATAAGAAAAACAAAAAGCAGAAACAATTTAAGCTTTTTGAGGAAGGACGAGAACACTAGGAGTATGTTTTAAAGAGGGAAATACCTCGATAGATATGTCTAAATGTCCACACACTATCATGCAAATCTTTTGCAACAAGCTCCTGAGCAGGTGGTTGCATAGAAAAATCCTATCAAAGATAACTGCTTCTAGTTACCACAAGTCTACACAGAAGGGACTACACCGACTTCTTTGATATTTTCAAATAACAATACAAAGTTTCAAAGGTTTACATACTAGAGGTGGGAGGATCTTCTCAGCTGCTCTACGAGGTACAGAAAATCCACCATGAGTGCTCGTGTCGCTAGCTGTAAGAGTTTTGCAGAAAAACTCAGCAGGTTGCCTACTTTGTCTGAGGCCCATGTCAGATGCCAGCAATGCTTCCTTCTCATACTGCCGAATTTCAAACAGTTTTGCAAATAAGTGAACAT